AGTATTATTGCTCTTCAGTATTTTGGTTCTCTTAATTTTTAGTCCCGTGAGTTAGACACTGTTGGTATTGCTTTATTCACTTGTTCATCATATGCCGAAATTTTACCTGATACCATGTTTTCATTGCTTTCCATTTCTTCTTGCATATTAAAGCTTCCTTCTGGGATTACTTCCCTTCTTCCTGAAGCATCTTCGTTAGAAATTCCTCTAGTGGGGGCTGAGATCTGTCTGGAGTAGATGATCTCAGGTTGGTTTTGCTTTTGTTTTGTCTTAGTGTCTTTATTTGCCCTAATTCTTGAAAAAGTAATTTCAGTAGATTTCCCCCCGTTTGAGTGATTTGAAGATATTTTCCTATCTCTGGCTTCTATTGTTGCTGTTGAGAAATCAGAAATCTTAACTGAGCTTTCTTTGTAGACAATTTGTATTTACTTTCTGGCTTTTTAAAAAATCTTCTTGTCTTTGTTGTTGTAAAGCTTCTCTACAGTGTCTCAGGGTGTGGATTTCTTTTTATTTACCCTGCTTAGAATTTGTCTTCCTAAATCTGAGAATTATATTTTGTCCACTCTGAAAAATTTTGAGCCTTTATCTCTTTCAGTATTGCCCCTTCCGCATTCTCTCTCTTTCCTTCTGAAATTCCTTGTAGTTGAATAGCAGGCCTTCTCAATCTGTCTTACGTCTCTTAATTTCTTTTGTGGTTTCCATATGGAGAAAATGTCTTGGTTTTCCTGAATAATTTCTTCATGACTTTCCAGGTTAGTAAATTCTCTTTTCAGCAGTGTTTGGTCAATATTATTTTAAATTTCTAGAAGTGGTAGAAGTTATTATTTTTCTCTTGAAGTTCTATTTTGATCCTTCTCAAATCTTCCTAGTCATTTTTGAGTGTGTTTTTTCTTATCTGTACTTTGTATACTTTTTAAAGTTTCTGTTAACATGAGAAATGCATGTTCCATTTTTAGTATTTCGTATTCCATTTTTGATCATTTGAGTATCTGCAATCATTATGGATCTGATTATGCAGTTAGTTCTTTTGCTTACTTTTGCCCAAGATGGGCAAAAATACTTCCTGCACTTTTTATTGAGTTCACATTCCTGGCATTTTGCATTTGGGAATTCTTTGAGGCCTGGGCTTAAATTGCTTTCCATCAGAGAAAATATCCATTTATATTTACTTCTGCTAATTGCTTAAGGATACTACTAACACATGACCTCCTAAACCTAAAAGTTTTTTGGGCCATATGAGTAACACAATTTGTATACTGAAATCCTTGTGGAGGGCTAGCTTTGGGTTAGAATTTGGGGAAGGCAGGCCTTTTATTTTCCTGCTTGAGTGAATGCTTAGAGCTTACTCTGGCAAGTATTCTGCTATTTTCCTCTTCATGGTGACTTTTTTCTGAATTCACTCTTTCACTAAGGATGTTGCCTTTTTGGCTGTCCCAGCTCTGTGCAGTCTCTGATCTAAGGCATCTACGTTATGAGACCCACGGCATTGACCCATTAAAAACCCAAGATCTGATCACAGAACACTACACCTTCCATCTCGCATAAACATTGTTTTCAGTGCTTGCTTACCTCTCTGAATTTCTGCTTTTCTCATTCTAGCCTTGGCTAATTTCCCTTACTCAGCTGCTTAGCCCTGCATTTCTTTTTAAAAACAGCATTATTGAGGTATAATTTATATACCATAAAATTCACCCATTTTAAGTATACAATTCAATGATTTTTACTAAATTTACAGAGCTATGCAACCATCACCACAATCCATTCTGGAACTTTTCTATCACCCATGCAAGCTTCTTATTTTGGTAAGATATCTTGTTCCTGCTAATAAGATAGCCAACACCTTTCCCTGGAAATTCGAGAGATAGAAGCTTAACCTCTATTCCATCATCATTTCCTGTGTGGGTTTGGGAGTAATTGTTAGAAATTTCTTGAGTGGTTCTGAATTTATATGATGTGCAGTTGTGACTTCTCACTTTATATATGACAGATTTGGAAAAGTTGACTTACTGTTATTTTGGACTTTTTGAGAGTTCAGACTCAACCATTTTAAAGAAGAAAACTCAGGTAGTAGTTTGACCCAAAGCCACATAGCAAGTGATGTCGGTTTTGGGTTTCATCCTTACAGCCTGCTACTTCAGTCGTGGTTTCACTATTTACACTTAAAAGCTCCCTATGCTACAGTTCTTCTCATTTGTTTCACTCCCATAGCGGGTATAAGCTGTTATGAGAGTAGGTCATTAATTTATTACCAAGAACAAAAAGAAATCTTTTCTTGTCTTCCTGCCAAGGTTCCAGGGTAAGGGACAAAGATAAAAGCAGGAGCAGTTACCGAGGGCAATGGGAAACAGCTTGTGTTTCCTTCACAGCACAGATTGTTACTGGGCTACTCCTGAAACCAGCAAAAACCCAGGGCTGTTTTTTTACCAGGGAGTTGCAAGTTTTCTGAAATGTTCTGCTCTTCTACAAGGTCCGAAGAAACATGACAGAAGTAGTGCAAAAGAGGCCCTCCTGATTTCAAAGCTAGTAGTCATAGTGTCAGTCTTAGCCTACTCCTTGGATTAGCAGGACTCAAAGATGTTTAAATTGTTCATACACAGGTTTCTGTGGTAACAAAGATTATAATAATTTATTCCCAGAGCAAATCTAGGGATATTGTTCATTGCCCTACAAAGTCTCAGCTCTGCCAGGTTCTCTTTGGAAGTTAGCTGCTCCGAGTGTTTTTAATTCAAACTTTAGAATCTTCTTCAGTCTTAGTATTAACTGCTATCCCAGATTTCTAGAGTCCCAGAAGGAGGCCTTTAGGAAGCCCCTTCCCTCATCCCCGCTTTCACTGTAGTTGAGCCTGGCACCAGTCCATGAGGTTAGCCTCTTAGAGGGCTGTGGTTGAGATGTTGCGTTTGCACATTTGTCATTGTTAGAAGTGAGTAGCTCTGTCCCTGGAGGGTGAATTGAAGCTCATTCATCTGGAGAAGACTGTCAGTGACAGGCGCCCGCTTCCTCCTCCCAGCCCAGGCAGGGCGGCCTCCTGAAACGGGCAGTGTACTATTGTAGGACATTACTGCTTCAACGGTACATCAGAAACATTCTTAACTAATGTTTTAAAATAAAGAACAAGTCTTCCATAACCTTAGTTTTGTTAGAATTTGTATCAGGAAACAGGAAAGATGGTTTACAAAAGTCAGCCTTTCAGCCTTAGCCACATACCACTCTCGTGTGTCTGATCTGTAGTAGATAATATTTAGTATAGTTTTTTGCTTCTTAATTTAAGCATTTTTTCTGGGTTCTACAGAGTCACAAAATTGGAAGAATATAAATTGAAATAAAATTGTACTAGTAGTGACTCGAGAGTGGAAAGCAGAAACACAGTGACAGACTGGCCTCCTAAATGGTGGGAGTAGGGCAGGGGTGCTGGGTATTAGTACACTCACTCACCTTACTAGGGATCTTTGTCACTTCCAAATTGCTAATTCAGCGATCAACCTCAAATTTTATATTTGTTTTTCAAAATGCCTTCTTTAGGCAGGGATGCAGTAGAAGGTGCAGATTCATGAACACATCTAATTTAAGCTTTCTCCTTCCGTGTAACATCGTAAAATATACATTTGAGGGATAATATTTTTTAAAGTTTTATGTTCTACAAAATTCAGCTTAGGTCATATTTTACAGTAATTTTTAAACAAAGAGAAATCTAAAATCAGCTCTGTAGATTGTCATCATGAAGAAAAGAAGTGCCTCTTTGCTCAGGTCCAGTTGACACCGGAAAGTGGAATTGTAATCTTCAGGGAGTATAATTTTCAGTTTCCCTGCATTTTTATGTTTAGGCATTGCAGGATTCTGATAGTTAGCAGTCTTACAGAAAGCTGATAATCCCTAACTGTAACACTGCAAACAACAGCCTTAATAGTATATAATTTTTCTTATGCCTTTATGTACTTAAGTTGGGTGGAGGAGTGAAAATCAAAGGTTATTTCCATTGCCCTTGTTTACTCTGGCATTTAAATTCTCGGAAAGTGCCTCTGATATTCAACTACCTACGCCTCTATCATTCATAACTCAATTTGCAGCTGGGGAAGGATGTGTCTCAGCACCATGTATTCAGTTGGTCCGTGGTATTGCTAATGGAATTGGCAAGCCTATTCATTTAGAAACATGGATAAGTGATCACAGCCCTAGTAGTCGCTACAGAGCAGCATTCTCAGCACAGTCAGAGCTGCAGCACAGGAAGTATGACACAACTTGAAAGATTGTTTCTGGCTACATGAGTAGTGTCAATGAGACAGTTGGATGGGAAGGTAAAGACTGTAGTTCAAATGAAGCAGCATCATTCAGGAAAGAGTCCAGCTGTCAGTGCTTTTGAGAACCCAGTTGAAGCACAGTTTTGCTCTTAACTATGGGACATCATCCTTGTTTCTTTTTCCATGTCTGATGAGGATGGCCTTGGGTCCATCTTGATGTTGTTTTAATGCTATTTTTTTTATTTGAAAAATAGCCTTGTGTTCAAATAAACCTCATCTTTGCTTAAAGTAAGCATCCATTCACCTGTCAAATGAAAGTAGCACTTAGAATTTTTATTTCCTTCCTTGGAAAACAGCTGCAAAGTACATTTTTATTTGAAGATACCAGCAATTCTTTCCTGATGCCCTTGGTTCCTTAGCTTTTCTTGCATTATTGCCCACACCAGGAGACCCTCTTTGTGAAGTTACTGTTAAGGCAGGTTAGAGCCCTTGTAAAGCTTGTTAGTTACAGGCTCTGGGATTTTCAAGTTTCTGCCACCAACTTTCAGTGTGACCTGCATTATGACTCTGTATAATTTCCTTAGCATAGAGCTAAAAAGTTGGTCCTCCTAAGCAGGTAATCAGTCTGTGAGAAATAAAACACCATTGGTGCTTTTGTCATTTGTTCTGTAAAGGTCAGGGATGGGGGTATGTATACATTTGTTTTCCTTTGCAGTCAAGAGAGAAAAATCCTCAAAGATCTTTCTATGGTGTTCCTTCTTCTAGGTTGCCAACTTGGCCTGTTCCATCTCAAACAATGAGGAAGGCGTAAAGCTTGTTCGGATGTCTGCAAGCCAGCTAGAAGCCCTCTGTCCTCAGGTAAAGTACAAACAGCGATGTTTAAGGTACCACCAAATTGGATTTTGGTTAGAATGGAGATGAAGTTTATTTTGTTGGTTTTGTTTTTAAGATTTTAGATTGAAGCTGTGAGGACAAAACACTGATCCAGAGTCCATGTAGCTTGGAGAAATTTATGTTTAACTTCAAGTGACATTTCCTTGGGGCATCACATGTTACTACCCCTTGCCCTTCATTAAAAATGCATAATGTCCTCCACTGCTCGCAAATGGAGGTGGGCAGTGGCCACACTGCTCAGCCTGCACCATCCTTGAGGGAGGGCTGTCTGCCACATCTGGCAGTCCTGGAAGCCTAAAAGTATAATAGCTGCCCACCAACACTCCATCTTAATGCCCGGTATTTGGATCTCTGTGTTGGAGGGAACAAGATTCAAGAGCTAGAACCCTGACTCTGTAATGTCTTAAAGTGGCTTTCTAATATAGATATTAATCACATGATTCAGCCAGTTACCGAAGGAACAGCTTGAGAACTTTTCTCCATTGAATGGCATTTTGGAGCCTGGTGATGAGGCTGTGTTAAGTATCTGGGCCTCGAGAAAGACTGAAGCACACAGAATAAGGGTTGCTTTGTTAAGTGCCTGCTATGTTGCCTGCCTCCCGTGAGGGGTACTGATCCTGTTTGTATGGCCCGGTAGCCTCTGCCCCTCACAGGTGTTTCTAAGCAGTGTAGGTACTGTTTTAGTGGAAGGGGTTGCCTCTCTCATTTCCCAAATAAGGAATGCTCCTGGGCATACTCTGAGGATTTGCATTAACTTCTCTCTGAATGTCCTGCCAGATAGCAGTAACCACGAATAAAGGGGAATAAAGCAAAGGAAGTGGAGTCATAGACTAGAGGTCACAGGAATGCAGTTTCTATGTTATGTCTGCCACCAGCTTTAAAATATACTGTGACCAATACTTTGGCTCTTTCATATAAATAATTCCCAGCATTCAAGGTAGGCAACTGAAATAAGTAAAGCCTGGTTGGTAATCTGGGATGCTAACTGGAACACAGATTAGTTAGGGCATTTGTTCTCATTCTCAACTATATGTATAAGTTTGCCAGTGAGAGTTGCTTTGTCTAAATATTTGTGTGATGGGCCAGTTGTGAATCCACATTATCTGATGGACATTTCCTCAGCTTTAATCCAGTCATGATATCTCCTGGTGATTGATGGCTGTACTGATAATAAACAGTGGATTCAGTCACCTCCAGAAAGTTCATGGATGACCAAGTTGTATAAGATAAATTTAGAGCAGATTTCTAAAGATTTGGCATTCTTTCCTCAAGTTTGCCTTTTTACCCTGTCAGCACTTTGTTTTTAATGTCTGGTTCTCCATTTGGTTTTGAAATGCTTGAAAAGCGACAATGCTTTCACATATAGGCTGAAACAGATGGTAACATACGCTGATCACACCTACCAAGAGTATTTATATAAATGATCTTAGAGCCTTGAAAAAAAAATCACAGAGAGAGTCTAGTAGACCCTAATGAAAATGATGGTGTGCATAAAAACATGTGGCTGGGCCATGTTGCATGGGTTTGAGCTTGCCAGCAGAAGGCATCATTTCTCCCTCTTCATTGTAGTTTCATTTCTCCTTCTAGAACAGACCTCAAGGAGAGTGGGCTTAGACAGAGTGCCCAGACCACACTTGATGTTGCATATCTGTCCTGGATAAAAAGGTGTTTCTCTGGGTGTGATTATTCTCCCAGATTCTCACCTAGGCTCACTCCTACTCTTGCTCGAAAACAGGGCTGGGCAGGTTCAGTAATGGCAAATACAGTAGGCATTGGCATGGTAATGACAAACTGGGTAGCATGTGCCATTTCTAAATGAGGCAGCTGTGACCCCACTCCAACCCATTATTGCTAGATCCTTTCATTATTTTTAAAGAGAAGTCAGCAATTCAGATTTTTCTGTCAAGTCTCAATTTTAGACAATCAGTAACTAATTTAAATTTCTTTAATTCTTTGAGGAGAGTAAACCAAACTTTTCTGGAAGCTGCATCTGGCCTATGTGTTTTATGCTCAAAGGGCCTCTTCTTCATGGTAGCTGATGGATTAGAGTGGAGCCCTCTCCTTACTCTTCAGTCTGTTGGTGGGCAGTGATCTTAGGTGCCAGAGGGTCCTAACCCTGAGTTCTTCCCCTCCAGAGTCACTGGCTTGTTTGGTAAATAGACTCCAGGCAAGTTAATTAACTTAACTAGGCTAGTTAATTCACCAGGAGTTTAAGATAATGTTTAATATGCTGTAGCATGTAGACAGTTTTTTTTGAACAAGATTCACTCTGAGCTAACATCCGTTGCCAGTCTTCTGCTTTTTTTGCTTGAGGAAGAGCAGCCCTGAGCTAACATCTGTGCCAGTCTTCCTCTATTTTGTATGTGGTTCGCTGCCATAGTATGGCTGATGAGTTGTGTAGGTCTGTGCCTCAGATCCAAACCTGCAAACCCAGGCCGCCAAAGCGGAGTGCACCAGACCTAACCACTATGCCACAGGCTGGCCCCAAACAGTTTTTTGGTTTTTTTTTTTCATTTTTTTTTTATTGAGTTATTGATAGGTTACAATCTTGTGAAATTTCAATTGTACATTAATGTTTGTCAGTCATGTTGTAGGTGCACCACTTCACCCTTTGTGCCCACCCCCCACCCCACCTTTCCCCTGGTATCCACTAAACTGTTCTTGGTCCATAGTTTTAAATTCCTCATATGAGTGGAGTCATACACAGATTATCTTTCTCTTGCTGGCTTATTTCACTTAACATAATTCTCTCAAGGTCCATCCATGTTATTGCAAATGGAATGATTTTGTTCTGTTTTGCAGCTGAGTAGTATTCCATTGTATATATGTACCACATCTTCTTTATCCATTCGTCTGCCAAACAGTTATTTTTTAAAGTATATTTTTTGTTTTATTTTTAGGCTAGTGTCGACCTCCATCCATAGTATGGAATACATGTTGCTTTTTTCCAGCTGCTTTTTGTGCCTCACGTCAGTGGCTACATGTAGGCAGACCTGGCCCCTGTGCTGGGGACACCCTCCTTGTGCAGCTTCCCTAGGGGCTGCTTTTCCCTGGTCCCACCTACACTTTGTTCTAAAGTGCTAACTTTTTTGGCAGTTAGGCAACTTTAACTCCAAATATTTAAGATATTAAAGTTGAGTTGAGGAGGATCCCAACTAGGGGGGAGAAAAACCACCTACAGTTTTTGGTGATTTCCTCTTACCATGAGCAAGAAAGGAAGTAGGTCAGCTTTCTTCCCTGCGTTGCCTTCTGCTTTGTGGCTGTGCTGTCTCACTCTGTCAGAAAGTGGACCCACCTCCAGCTGAGCAGAGAGCCCCTGCCCCACATGCTTTTACATGGAAACAGTCAAACTGTTTTGGTGAAGGACCTGAATCTGTACCCCACATATCTCTGACATCATCTTGCTTGTGGATGTGCCCAAGTCTTAGTCCACGGTAGCTGCTTAAAATATTTCAGTTCTTCAGTTCATTTGGTGCTGGCCAGTGGGGAGGGGAGAAAAACAAAACCCTGCCAACAGCAGGTTTCTGACAACTGAGTCTTTAAAATTGGAGGAGGGCATTTTGAACAAGATCTCACTTATTATTTTATTTTTCTTAGTTCATTATGCAAGAATGAGCATTGTATGTTAATTTAATGCAAATTAAGTTAATACAAATTTAAATAACTGCAACTCTGGCACTTTAATTCATAAAACCAGGGCTGACAGGTGACACAGCTGTTAAGTTTGCAGGTTCCGCTTCAGCTGCCCAAGGTCCACCAGTTCGGATCCCGGGTGTGGACCTACGTACTGCCTGTCAAGCCATGCTGTGGTAGGCGTCCCACATATAAAGTAGAGGAAGATAGGTACGGATGTTAGCTCAGGACCAGTCTTCCTCAGCAAAAAGAGGAGGATTGGCAGCAGATGTTAGCTCAGGGCTAATCTTCCTCAAAAATAAAAATCATATAATCTGGTTTAATGCATGGCTTTTCTTGGAAATCTACACAAGGGTGAGTTAAGTATTTGAAGCTGCTGCTTATCTACATTTCTTTCTTTCTTTCTTTCTTTCTTTTTACTTCTCACTAACTAAATTGAGAAATAACTTAGAAAATTGTCCATTCTTTCTTCTGCCTCCTTAGATTTATCTTCCGTATTGCTTCTCCTATTGTGCTTGGGGGTACACTGATCATTTTCATGGCTGACAGGCTTGACAAGCATCAAATAAGCACAAACCCAGACAGACCTGGCCTATAGGTGGTAAGAGAATATGCCAGGGTAGCCTGCAGCCTCGGCTCTCACTCATCTACTATTTCACAATTATAGGACCATCTACCTTTGAATCACCTCACTTTTCCACTTCTGATAGTCTGTAATCTTTTCTTACAAAGTAATTCACGGAAGAACTCAAAGGAGATGCTTCTGACCAAAAGTTTCTCTCAGCATTTTCTGTACCGCCCCCCGGCAAGGGAGGTCTGCAGCGAATAGGCCCCCAGAGACGTTGCTGCTCCTTGTAAGGCTTGCATTTTGATAATTCATCTGTTGTTTTCTTGTCTTGTAAAGTCTGATTTCTATATCATAAAAGTTGGAAAATGTTTCCTTCTCTTCTGTTTTCTTGAAAAGTCTATATAATTGGTATTAGTCGTGCTTTATCTGTTTGGGAGAATTTACCAGTGAAGATGCCTTGCCTGGAGTTTTCTTCCTGGGAAAGTTTTTAACAATGAATTCAGTTGCTTTAATAGATACAACGATATTCAGATTAGCTGTTTATTCTTGGATGAGCTTTGGTAATTGTATTTCATCTATTGCTACTCTGTTATTTTCTTCTGCTTGCTTTGGGTTTAATTTGCCCTTTTTGTAGTTTCTAAAGTTGGAAGCTTTTAGATCATTGATTTGAGACCTTTTCTAATGTAACACTTAAACATTTACTGCTGTAAATTTCTCTGAAAGCACTGCTTTAGCTGCATCCCACAAATGTTTTTGTGTTCGT